CGCAGCAGAGCGATTTCACGGCTCAGTTTGCATCTCATCAACTATATAATCTCGATTTTTATAAATGTTATCTTTGCATAACATTACCTGATTATATGATAATATAGGATGGATAGAGTTCGTTAAAGACTTGCCCCAAATTGAAAGTAATATCCTGGGATTATCGCAGATACTTCAGAATATATGTACACATGACTGATGAACACCGCGTATGTATACAGATAGGTATGTTTTGGGCAATGGAACTCACGTTTGAGGTTTCCATTTGATGTTTCGATAAAATGAGAACTAAAAGTTTCGACGGCACCAATATATCTAAACTCGCAGATTATATCTATTTGTTAACGCAGTAAAATAGCTGAATAATCGGACTCAGTGGGGCCGTACAAGAAAGTACTGAATCTACTAAAAAAAACAAGGTTTCTGAAAAAAGCAAATTGAAATTGACCTATAATCTAATATTACAGTGCGATGGCGATATTCAATACGACGTCGTCCACCGTCTCCGCTCATCTATGACAATGAACTACAAGACATTGAGATGACATAATCGAAATGTTAAAAATTGACCTAAGCACAAAAAAAAGAAACTCAATGAACCAGTTAAATAAATAATGATTGATTGCCACATCCGATCACGTCTAAGAGGTTCCCCATTCCAATCAAGAAAAAATCGCCTTTTCTTTTATAGTTTTAGGATGCGATCACCACAAGTCTCAATAATCTCAACGTCACATCCAGTTATTCTTCATCTCAAAATGGGCATTTAAACAGTTTTTTGGTTGGTACAACAATGACAACACCGAACAGATTGAAAACGTCGACTCTAATCGTTTACCTAATACATTATTGAACGAATGTAATCTCTTAAAATAACGACCTATTTTAAGGAAATATATTTTATTACTCAACATCAACACAACAAAAACAACAATTCAAAACAACCAAAATGTGCTGATGGTGAATTATTAATGAACATTTTCATAACAATGTCAATATCAACATCCATAGAAATCATGACGTGATAATATTAATAATATAATATTCTCAAACAAGAAAATCCATAGCGAAATGTAACATAACAATAACGAGACAGGCAATAACAACAGAAAATCCATCAACAAATATTATGATCAAAATGACCTTAAGTGATCCAATTCGTAAACGTTCCAATGACTTAACATTCAGTTCAAACGCATAACAATTCNGATTAGATTACCAAATCAACACATAAATGTTCATATCCATGAGTCATCAAAACATAAATTTTCAACCAAAACTCTCCCAAAAAGAGCCCAAACAACAACGACAATAAATCAATCATATTCGATCATAACACAACGTTGATCTATTTTCTTTCTCAATTCTTTCCTCTCACACCTTTAGGCCTCTTCTTACGATCACCACGTTTACTAACTTCACGTTTCCTATTGCTCTTCATGGTACCTTTCTTTCGTACCGTCTTCTTCATCTTTTTAGCTAATTTGGTTTTCGGTCGATCCTCAGCATCACTATGGAGCGCTTCTTGCGACCTGCAATACGATTTCTCATATCTGTCGCATTCATTTATCTCATTCAACTTCACTGATTACAACATCGTGAATTACAACTCCTGCATGAAGTCACAAATGAACCGAAAAAAACAATATTAAGAAAAAAAGAAGGAATAATTCGACGAATAATTAACAAAAACCACTCAGCATGTGATGAACGTAATGATAATGAATAAATGGATGAATATTCAAATTAACAGTCTTATATTGATAATAATTAACTGTTAAAAATAAATACAGCATTATTATAAACATACTTCTCAGCAGCATTTTTCTTCTTCCTTAATTTTGCTTTCTTTCTCAGCAGTGCATCCTTTGCCTTCTCATTCATCAATCTTGAAACTGCATCTTGCATCTCCTTTTTGGGAATCTGCGCCTTCAGACGCGTTTCTGCTTTCGTCACCATCTTGAACGGA